CTTAATGCTTTTCCCATGCTTATTCCATTTACTTCTGCAAACTTCCAAAGGATGTGGTCTGTATTTGTAGAAACTTCTAATAATTTTCAAAAAAAAACATACAATATAAGAAGTAAAGCATTTCAACCTGTGCACATAATCTTTTCCTGCATTTTCTGGACATCTCCTCGTAGTAAGCACAGATGAAAATGTTCTGTCCAGTTTAAAATGTCAAGATGAAGAATTGTTCACACCATCTTTAGTCGCACCCAGTGAAGAAGACAATTTGCCTCAGACTATGATATGCCAACCAGATGACACATTTATACCTAAAAAGGCATTTTCTGAAAGTGAACCAGACAGTGGACAAGGATTGATAATGTTCCAACCTTCCACGAGTGAGTACAGATATACTGTAATTCAACGTGAAGAACTTAATCTGTGCAACCTTGATTGAAGATACTGAATTTTTGCATTGCAAGAAAATTGCAGCTAAATATAAAATGCATTTCTGCTTTATGCTGATCTTCAAAAGTTTATATTGCTACAAACTGTGCTTTCACTTCATTCTATGTATAATTAATCGGAACAGTGTGAAAGCAGAGAGACTGTTAGAAATGACTGGGCCGTGAAATGGAACGGAGAGTGGGAAGGTCAGTTGGCAGGGGATTTTCCACCTTGCAGTCTACAATTTACTTTTTATACAAATGATGACTTTCAAAAGGCTGGTATGGGCTGTCATAGTACTTAATGTTTTCCAAGTCACAATATGAAGTGAAATATTCATAGGCTGGCAGAAAAATGTCACATTGTTCACTTTAGCTGGAAAAATGAAAAAAGGGTATTACTTAAATGAAGAACAACTATGGGAGTTTGGTGTGTTTTGGAGAAGTTAGGTGGTCTAGTGCATGAGTCACAAAAGGTTAGTATGCAAGTACAGCATGAAAATTTAAGAAGGCTAATGGAATGCAATATTTGATTGAGAGGAATTGAACATACAAGTAGGAAGTTATGTTTAAGTCATATGGGACATTGGTGACACTACATCTACTTTATTCAATTTGAGAAACATTTGGAGATGGTTGAGGGGTGCATTCCGAGATTGATACCTGAAACGAGTGAGCTATCTTTTGTGAATAGGTTGAACAGGCTGGAGTTTAGAAAAATAAGGGGTGATTTGATTGAAGTGTACGAGATCCAAATGGTCTTGATAAGGTTATGAAAAGAATGTTTCCTGTTGTGGGTGAGTCTATTTCTAGGGAGGGTACTGTTTTTAACATTAGATATCACCTTCTTAGGATGGAGATCAGGTTTATTTCCCCCACCCATAGGGTTGTGTGACTTTGGAACTCAGAAGGCACTAGAAGACCGAGCTTGCGGGGAGGGGGTTTCATTGAATTATTTTAAGCAGAAGTTGAAAGATTCTTGTTACGCAGAGGAATCAAAGATTATTGAAGGTAAATAGGAATGTGAAAACAGCAATGACATTCGTGAATGGCAAGGCAGACTCAAAGTGCCAAATGGTCTACTCATGGTCTTATTCTGCATATTCATATATTTGTAAATTCCTGGATTAAAAATGTTTGATTAGGGTAACTATAATGTATTAGTTTGTATTAACATTGCCTTATGAATTGATTTCAGTGTACATTACTACTCCATTAAGTCATTGGATATTTATGGTGTTCTGATTCAATATTGTCTTAGTGTAAACTATCATCTGATTACATTCATACAAATGAAAGGTATTTTCAGAATTGAAATTTTGAATATACAGTATCTTTAAAATGGCAGGTGAAGGTTTGCTTCTTATCCTAGTGATTCTTTTTTTGGAACTTTGTCAATGCAAATTTCAGATGGGCTGTAGAGCAATCATCTGCAAATGTAGTTTTTGAACATCTGTAGATATGCAATCTTGTACTTGTAGAATTTTCTCCCTAATTTCCTCTGAAAATGTTAAATCAGCCACTCAAAGTGGGAGGATCAATAACCTTTTCATACACTGCAGAATTCCTGGACTAAACACTCCATACCCTGCATCAAACAAATGAAAATGGTTTCCAATTTTGATTGGAGTTGCCCTCAAATTGATGATCAGCAAGAGTTAAACAAATTTGCTCTACAGTGCCTCTGGAGAGCTTTTTGGATCACATCTGGATTAGAGTGGAGCTTCCACTTGTAGCATCTTAAATCCTGGGGGGCTGGCACATTTCAACAATAAAGTACTGTGTTTAGGGTGCTCACTTAATTAAAAATGAGATTTGGCAGTAAACCTGGCTGCAACGTAAATGGATTACTGGAATTAATGGGGAACATGAGGCAAACTCTCCATGGGATGGAGTCCGACCTGACATCGGAAGATGGTTGTGGTTGTTGGAGGTCAGTCATCTCAGCTCCAGGGCATCTCTCCAGGAACTCCTCATGGTGTCCTAGGCCCAAACATCTTAAGTCGATTCATCAAGGACTTTCCCTGCAACATAAGATCAGAAATGAGGATGAATGCTGATGATTGCACTATGTTCAGCATCATTCATGACTCCTCAGATACTGAAGCAGACAGTGTTCAAATGCAACAAAATCTAGGCAGTAAAAACTGAAAGAACTGCGGATGCTGTAAATCAGGAACAAAAACAAATTTGCTGGAAAAGCTCAGCAGGTCTGGCAGCATCTATGAAGGAAAAAACAGAGTTTCAGATCCGATGACCCTCCCTGTGTTCTGAGGAAGGGTCACCGAACCCGAAACGTTAACTCTGTTTTTCCCTTCACAGATGCTGCCAGACCTGCTGAGCTTTTCCAGCAAAATTGTTTTTGTTCAAGATCTAGACAGTACCCAGGCTTGGGTTGAAACGTGGCAAATAACATTCGCATCACACACAAATGCCAGGCAATGACCATCTCCAATAAGAGACAATCTAACTATGGCCTCCTGACATTCAATGGTGTTACTATCACTGAATCCCCCTTTTTAACATCCTGAGGTTACCATTGATCAGAAATGCAACTGGACCCACCATATAAATACAGTGGCTACAAGAGCAGGCCAGAAGCTAGGAATACTGTGGCGAATAGCTCACATCCTGACTCCCCAAAGCTTGCCCACCATCGACCAGGCACATGTCAGGAGTGTAATAGAATACTCCCCACTTGCTTGGATGGATGCAGCTCCAACAACATTCAAGCTTGATGCCATCCAGGACACAATAGCTTGTTAGATTGGCGCCACATCCACAAGAATCCACTCCGTCCGCCACTAAAACTCCGTAACAGCAATGTGTACTATCTATAAGATGCACTGCAGAAATTCACCAAAGATCCTTAGACAGCATCTTCCAAACCCATGACCACTTTCACCTAGAAGGACAAGGGCAGCAAATACATGAGAACAGCAAGTTCCCTTCCAAGTCGCTCACTATCCTGACCCAGAAATATATTGTCGTTCCTTCACTGTCGCGGGGTCAAAATCCTGCAGTTACCTCTCTAGTGGCGTTGCGAGTCTCCCTACAGCACATGGATTGCAGCAGTTCAAGACAGCAGCTCACCACCACTGCCAGAACATAAAGGACAATGAGGCTCTGCTGACCAGCCAGTAACACCCACATCCCACTGAGAAAAATACAACCAAGATGATTAAATATTCAAACATGGTACTTTCTTGCCTTTGAAATGCTGGTCCCTTTGTAAACAAGCCTGTGGGCTTAACCATGGTCATTGCAAGATCATAGATGTCCTTGATGTGTATAACATTTGTCTAGTTTTCATGGTTAGGACTGAGAAAATCACCAATGGAGGTACATAATTCCAATCCATAGAAACATTTAAATGGGAGGAGGGTAGGGTGAGGGTAAATAGGGAAGAGACTGAGGAGCTACTACAAATTCTGTCCCTGCTCTTCCATCATAGACTCGAGTTCTGTATACTTTTGAACCCTGGTCAAGTCTACATTGACACATTTGGACATTGATTTCTGCTACAAAAAAATACAGACCCTAAAAATGTGCCAGACACTACCATTAACTGACACTCGAGTGAACAACTACAATGTTAGTACCCTGATCCTTGCACCACTCGTGTTTGTATTGTGATCCATTTATTGGTCTATGCCTTGCCTACAGGTTTCATCACAGAGAATGTGTCTCACGGTGTGGCTCACCAATGGATTCAAAGCAAAAGGGAGGATATTATCAATCAGATGACAGAAGCATGTCTGAATCAAGCCCTGGATGCCCTGATTTCCCGTGACTTAGTAATGAAAGAGGATTATGAGCTCATCAGCACCAAACCCACAAGAACAGCAAAAGTCCGACAACTCCTGGACACTAGTGACAACCAGGGAGAAGACTTTTCCAGAGTTATTGTTCAGAAGTTAAAAGACAATAAACAGATGGGGCTTCAACCTTATCCAGAACTGTCTACAATATCCAGTCCATCCTCCTCCATTAGCCTGATGTCAACTCAACTCAAAATCAAATGACTATTATTCAGTCGAAGCAAAATGCTGCCCATCCTGGAAACCTGAAATAAAAAGAGAATGCTGGAAATGCTCGGCAGATTAGATGGGATCTATGGACACAGTTAATGTTTTCAGTTCAATGACCTCTGCTGAGTATTCTCTGAGACTGTTATTCAGGTGTTTTTCCCTCAAATCTTTTGTTGTCTTGGTTCATTTAAGAAATGTCATGGTGGATTTATTGTCAATTGTCTTTGTACTGTACTGAAGGCTGCACCCATTGATTAGTACAATGTTTTAGAAGTTGGTATGATTTTCCTTCAGCCCAGGAACTGTGAATTTTATCACAGCATCCATGTAGTCAGGTGACTGCTCCACACTGTTGTCAATGTTTATGGTTGTCTAGACTTCCTTTTGTGAATGCTAATGTACCTTTACCAAACTGTTACATTGAATAATGTAGAATATCTCACCTCGAAGGGAATAGAGGCTTTTATTGTTTGTGTTTCCTCACTAAACTCCATTGATTGCCTCACATGAGATGACCCACAACCTTGTTGAATGAATATGTTATCTTTACACAATAATCAGAAATAGATTTTAGAAGGACTAAAATCGAAACATGTTGCTTTCTACCAGTTGCTAAAAGTTAGATCCTTATTATCTCTTGCACAGAAACTGTAGATTTGGGTTAATTTGGAGAGCACACTCGTGGTTTGAGGGGAAAAATTGCCTTTAAATGGAATGGGGACATTTAAAATAGTGGTATTCAAAAGGCTTTCAGGAACACTTAATTGCCAACTCAATCCTTTAAAAATATTTGTCAAGACTAAAGGCGAGTCAAAAGGAGAGAGACAAAACTGAAGATAGAAGAAAACAAACTGGAAGGGGAGTTTGCAGATGAGAGGTCTTGTTGGGCACTCAAACTCCAACTTGCTTCCTGAAGTGGCTGTCGTATTGTGGGATCGTCCTCTTTGTCACCTCATGGTGCCATTCGCATCAGCATTGTAAAATGCCCTTTAGGAGCTTGAACTTCTTCCAACGTGTCTGTTTAACCCTGAAAAGTTGCATCTAATGGCACTACACTGCATTTGGCATTCTGATCTTGCTCCTGTGAAGACATATCCCTGTGGTTGTTAGAGACAGCACAAATAGTTGGTAATGCCTTAACAGGTATGACCAGTTATGCCAGACTGTCTGTTCATAACACTGGCAGCCCCATTAAAAACATGGCATCCTGTGATTGGATTATGTCATACCATTAGACTACTACGTAAGAATGATCTCTGATAAAGACCCACTGATCAATCTCCCAAGCGAACTACACTAATAGGATTTTTGCCACAACAGAGAGGCTGTCTATTATGGTGAAAATGGCAGATGGGCTGGAAAATCCCAGTCCTGCCCATCTTCATCGTCATAGTTCCCAGAGGAGTTAGCCATTTCAATTAGCAGCTGGCTCCACTCAAGTCAGCTTTTGGAGCCCACGAGTGTGAAGCAAGAAGTGTGCAGTTTAGATCTATAAGAACGATCCTTGTGCATTTCTTTGGGTAGCCAGGGTGCCCCTTTGTGGACGTAAGGTACCTATACTGATATGGTCCCTGGACACTTTTAGGGAGGTAACACAGTTTTTGGTTGCCCTATGTAATCGACAAAAACAGGCCTTAAATGTGTGTGAAATGCACTAATTCGGGAACTGTTAAACTGATTGGAAAATTCAGAAAACTTATCAAAATGATTGGTCAAAATTCTTAAGGCATACATTGGACGTGTCGGGAGGACCTGTCAGAAACAACTGTCAAAGGGAGCTGTCAAGCATTTAAAAGTCCTCCTTTTCGTATATTTGAAGAAAAGTCTGGACTGGTTTTAAAAAAACAGTTTGTTCTGTTTGACATCATCTGTTGCCATACACCTGAGAGCTTTCGTTACTGAATTAACTTGCACGATTGATTTAACAACCATTGCTTATCACACTATCAAGTGCTATTTCACAGTTTGACCACTACAAGCGGTTCTAGATGCTTTGAAAAGGCACTATGAATTCCAAAGCCTGTTTAAGGGATAGAGCAGTTGAGTGCAACTGTCAGGCATTTTATCATTGAAGAAAGGTAAATGTAGCAACTTTTTTTTAGGATTTTCAGTACAATTTAAAGTTTATAATAAGTACTTAAAATGAAGTTCTATAAAATAATAATTTATCTCACCTGTATACGAATCCTGAGCTCTGCCCTTGATGGCTCAAGGGTGAGTTGATGCAGGTATATGATCAAAGGTTAATGGGTGAGAGGCATGTGTTGCCAAGAGTTGGCAGTAAATTGTTATAGAGGGCATAATGGATGAGTCCAGGAAATTGGTTGACATGAAGGCTATAAGGGATTACGGAGTGGGTACAAGGTCATAGGTTGACGTGAAGGGTTATGGAGGTGGGTAGGGGGGCATTGATTGACATGGAGAATCTGAGTGCCCAGGTGTGGTTACAGGACATGAGGTGGAACAGATGAGCATGGTGCAAGAGGAGCTACAACAGGGTTAGAGTTAGAGGGACGTTTAATGTTTCAGAATGTTTAAATTTTGCACAGCTGTGTAGCCCAGGAATGGATATTCTGTGCAGTCTTACTCTGCACCTGACACCCCTTCAGTACTGTAACCGGACTGTAGTTCTGTAAGAGGCAAAGATTCTCCTTGACTGTTTGACCTAGTGGACTTCAGACAATCAATGGCCCTCTCCAGCTATTTGAATCCTGAAACACAGTTATCAGTCAGATTTGGAGACTAGTATTCATGTATCGATTTGTGGCCTGGCAATGCACCTGAAACAAAAGCAACTAATTTATTTCATTAGAACAAACAACATTAATTAATAAAACACAGAAAGAATGGTGGATGCTGTAAATCAGAAACAAAAACAGAAATTGCTGGAAAAGCTCAGCAGGTCTGGCAGCATATGTGGGGAGAAATCAGAGTTAACGTTTTGGGTCAAGTGACCCTTCCTCACTCTGACCTGAAGGTCACTCAACCTGAAACCTTAATTCTGATTTCTCTCCACAGATGCTGGCAGACCTGCTGAGCTTTCCCAGCAATTTCTGTTTTTGTTCAACATCAATTAATTTTGGCTATAGACAATCCCAGGCAATAGCAGAAATGCTTCTCATTGAATATAGCAACACTGGCAGGTTGACACTTTGAATCAACCTTTGTATTTATGAAGGATGTTTCATTTAGCTCAAGCAGAACTGATATTTTGATTCTATGTATAATTCTGTTTAAATTTCCTTCATCCTAGGCCTAGTGATGTGAATGTAACTGAAAGAGAACAGAGAAAAGGGTATGTTTTTGTCATGGGACCCAACATTACGTTATTCAGGCATTAATATACCTTAGTGGTGACTTGGATCCATGGTGCCAGATCCCAAGACCTCCACCTAAATTAGTGGCTTGTCAGAGAAAAAAGTTGCCTGTAGAAGTGGGTGGGTACAGTAGAATAAACCATCTCTTATATAACTCCGTCTCCATCTGTTGATCCTCCTTTTCTCCAAGCTCCTCAAAAGGGAATTCCAATCAGGGATGGCAATATTAATTGTGCTGGAAACAAAAAAAAAACTTCGAACGCATGCTAATGAGATCTTGAATAGCCTCCCTTGACTTTCTAAGTTGAAAAAATATGTAATCTTGTGGTGAGGAGAAGGTAGCTGGGATTTGATTAGTAAAACAGAAACTCAGTAGACTGTAAGTACAAATTTGGCTATGTTTAAATATCTTCCTCTATTCTGTTTCCTTTTAGAGGTTGAACAGCTTCATGATTGACACTGGACTCATCTCTTAATTAAATCCTGAAGTGTTTGCATTGCGGTGTGATTTTTTTTCAATATTTTTCTATAGTGATGAGAGCTGCTATTCCCTTCATGAGCCTGAAAGAGATTTGTAGTTTGCACTGTTAAAATGTAATCTACTAAGCATTTTTATTTATTAATTTAGAAAAGTACTTAAAGGGTGATGCTTTAAGAGAATTATAGCTCGAGATGCTCGAGATTAGGGTGGAGTTCTTTGTTACTGTAAGTGGGACAGATTTCTTGCCACTAAGCTATGTATTTCTTAACATATTGATGTTTTTTACACAGTTCCTATCACCAAAGTTTCTGTTGTAATCTCCTTCGGTTGTTCTAATCTAGGAACAACAATTCAACCAAGCTATGATGAAGGGTCTAGGCCCGAAACGTCAGCCTCTCTGCTCCTATGATGCTGCTTGGCCTGCTGTGTTCATCCAGCCCTGCACCTTGTTGTCTCGGATTCTCCAGCATCTGCAGTTCCTACTATCTCTAATAATTAGAAAGCTGTATTGATACTCTGGATTTTTACATTGCAGACTGTTAACTGTATCCACTGAACGAGCTCCAGTTTTTTATGTAATGTGCCATCTCTAAAGTGATTTGAATGCACTTTTTGTCATAGAAATTGTTTTATGATTTTATGAAAGATGTTCTTTTCAGCTTTGGCATTTGGTTTAAAAACCTGCAAGATGTTTTATTTCAAACTTGCCCACATCTTGGTTCTACTGATTCATATAAACCGAGAACATGAATTCCATAAATTGTTTGTTTGACTTCCTATTTCATAGTGGTTTAATTATTTATTGGTTGATTCATGCTGGCATGATTTGCAACACTGCTGTAATATCAGTAAAGAAAGCCTTACTAATAAATCACACTACATAGAGAGCATAGTTGGACTTTACTTAAGAACCTCATTCTGCTCAATTCACACACAAGAATCACTCAAAAAAAAAACCTAGATTTCCCGACTTTGATACCAGCAGTGCTCTGAGTTGACTACTGCTGTAATAATGTTAAATGGAAAATTTAGGAACTAGTATTTCATATGTAACTACTTTAAAAAAAATCGAAGTATTGTCTAAATGTAGTGATACAATTAAGCCGCCTTTAGAAACTTAATTCCATGCGCTTTGTCTCCCGAACTGTCTTGATCTTTGTGAAGCTGCTTGAAATAGCTGCAGAGAGGCTGGTATCCCGGCACCTAGTCACCCTTTATTTGTTTGTGCACAGTACACAGGCTGTGACCAGCCAGCTTGGAGTCAGTCACTTGAACTGCAGAGATTCTAACTCTCTTTGGTTATGTTTTGTTTTCATACCCCTACACTTACTGCGTTACAGCAGTAGTGCTTATGTTTCCCCACAGCACCCATGTTGTGTGCATGTGTATAAGCGCAGGAGTCAGTAGAACACAAAGTGCAATATAATTTTAGTCAACATTTCCAGGAAAACACTCATGCAGCCAGTGAACCAGTAACGAGCAAAGCTTATACGAAATGTGAAGGGGAGGGTAGGGATCAAACCAAAACAGAATTGGAAGGGGAAATAAAGCACTTCCACCCTCTACGGTTCCCGCCTCTCCCTAAAGGCATCCAGAGTGTTGGCGGACACTCTCCAGGGATACCTGGGCTCGAACATAGTTGCAGAAGAGGGGCAGGCATAAATGACCCCCTCCACAGCCCACTGCCTGGATTTGTTAATGGCCAGCTTAGCCAGGCCCAGGTGCAGACCCACAAGTAGATCCTCTGACTTGGCTGCTCCCCTCTGCATTGGGTGCCCAAAGATCAG